GTTGAATTTTTTTGTCATGCTGACCTCCAGCAGGGCCCAGGGCTGGGGAGCAGGTGATGACAGCTCTTGACCTTCTCCTTTTCTGTGTTGAATTTTTTCGTAGCACATGGTCGTGCCTAATGAAAGTGGGTAAATTGCTTTGAATTGTTTAGCATTTGGCATAATCTGCCAGGAAATCTCACCTCCTGGAATGTGGTTTATAGAAATCCCTGGATCTCACAGAAATGTAGGTGCAGGGAAACCTCAGGGAATCCCCCAAAATGGGGCCACAGGAGAATGTGGATGATGGTGTTTAAGGTCAAAAACAGTCTGTGATCCCATTTTGATCATGTCTGAGGTATGTGACGTCTGCTGAGGAAGGCAGAAGTCCTCGCACGGTGGTCGACTGTGCTCGTCTTTGCTGTTCGTGCGTTGTACATTTTCCACATTGAGAGCACTGACTGCTCAGCTTCAAAGAGGAGCCCCTGTGGCAGGTGGGGCCTCCCTCCCTGTGGCCCCCTCACTCACACTCTCACTCCTCAGGCCCTCCGTGTCTTCTCTCTGCTGCGTGTGGAAATTCCCCCAGCTGGGTGTGTAAGTTATCTTTATGCCAAGTTGAGAAGGGGCCCTCACATTGCCGGCAGAATCTCCCTACTCCTGGCAGGGCTCATGTTGGCATCAGAGCATCTGCCAACTCATGTACTTTGTCTTTTTGACTTGAGGCTCCACTCTGTTTCTGTGTCTCTTGTAGGCTCATCGGAACCTGTCGCAGCTCCCAAATTTTGCCTTCTCTGTTCCACTGGCGTATTTCCTGCTGAGCCAGCAGACAGACCTCCCTGAGCATGAGCAGAGCTCTGCCAGGGAGAAGGCCTCGCTCCTGATACAGCAGGCACTCACCATGTTCCCTGGAGGTGTGTGCCCCATCTTGCTGGGGTGGGGTGTGTCCTGTCAGCCATGGTGTGGGAGCTGGTGTTCCTGGTGGTGGAGGCCAGGTCCCTGACCTCCCCTACACTTTCAGACACGTACATTCTTTGGTAGGGCCTGCAAACCTGCCCTAGCAAACTCGAAAGATGATCGATCCATCTGGGAACCTGCTGTGTGCCATGCCAGGCACGAGGAGGTGGCAGCCATCCTACCCTGTGGGGCTGTGTTGTAGGGTGCAGAGACGGGACTGGCTGGGAGGTGCTGGGCACGGATTGTGTCAGTGCTGGGGAGGAGAAGAAAGCAGAGGAAGGTGTTGGAGGTGCCGAGGCACGGCGGAGAGGGTTGTGCTGAGCACTGTGCTGGGATGTGCAGCGGAAGCCTGTCCTGCTCAGACAGACCCAGCCTGCACAGCCCCTGAGCCCTGACTGCATCTGCGCGTTCTCCGTCCACACACATGGGGTGGGCACAGTGGGGCTGACCCCTGCCAGACAGCATGTGTGACGTCTGTCTTTAAGACGGGGCTCCTCTGAGGGGCTGTGGGGGCTGAGGGTTGTTTGCATGCAGCTGATGTGACTCGTAGCATGACCACTCACCTTCTGTTAGCACGTCCTGGAAGCAGCAGTACTTCACTGGTTCTGTGGTTTTCTAGGGCTTTTTCTGGGCCCCAGGGAAGCCCACGGCGTGGGTTTGGGCAGCTTCCAGCACAGGCAGAGAAATGTGCCAACGAGAGGGGCCTGGCAAGCCCTCGGTCTGCTCGCTGACCCCAAAAGCTTCATCTCCTGTGCCTAAGAAGCACCTCTGTCCTCCTCGGCAGCCCTATGCTGTGTTCACCAGTGCAGCAGTGTCTGGGAACGGGGTGGAGGCCGCATGCTGTGCTCCACCAGTGCAGCCGTCTCCGGGAACACGGCTGGGAGGCTGTGTGTTGTGTGGCAAAGCTGTGCTGCTGTCTTACAAGCTGTAGTGTCAGCACCTGCTTCAAAGGCAGGCAGGCTCCCAAGAAGCCACCGCCCCTTTTTCCAGAGCACTGGAGATCACTGCAGGCGTGGGTGGGACAGGCTCTGCCCTGGGGGCCCATGCCCCTATGTGGCAGCCTAGACCTCAGCCCAGCCCTGCGCTGCTAGCCCTTCTACTGGGCACAGATGGCCTCTGCCCCCGCCAGCCTGCCATGGGATCTGGACTTTGTGATTAGAACATCCAGCCCTACGTGTGTGGAGGGTGGTGGGTGAGTCTTCCTCAGATGCAGATGGGGGTGCTGGGAGGCTCCTGGGGGCTGGTGTGAGGAGACCCCCGCCTCAGACCCTGGGCACCCCAGCAGCAGCAGCTCAGGGTGCCAGCCGGAAGCAAGCCGCTGGCCCTGCACGCTCCTCCATCCGAAAGCACTCAGCTGTGTCTGTGACAAAGACTTTACCGTGTCCCTTACCACTGTGGGGGCTGGGAGTGGCTCGCTGTGGGCCGAGGGGTCCCACAGAGCCTCTGCTTCTCCCGCAGTCCTCCTGCCCCTGCTCGAGTACTGCAGCATGCGGCCCGATGCCACCGTGTCCACTCATCGCTTCTTTGGACCCAATGCCGAGATAAGGTAGAGAGTGGTGGTGCCCGTCTGTGGGGTACCAGTCTGTGGGGTATATGTCTGTGGGGTATATGTCTGTGGGGTGCCAGTCTGTGCGGTATATGTCTGTGGGGTGATTGTCTGTGGGGTATATGTCTGTGGGGTATATGTCTGTGGGGTGCCAGTCTGTGCGGTATATGTCTGTGGGGTATATGTCTGTGGGGTGATTGTCTGTGGGGTATATGTCTGTGGGGTGATTGTCTGTGGGGTGATTGTCTGTGGGGTGCCTGTCT